CTTAGGTAAAGTACCTACGCTGACTATAATCGACCAAATTATCTACTATGTGAGTTCTGTGATGCCCAACGCATGCAACTTACAGGCATAAAGAATCATAATTACAAGACAATTTAAAAATACAGTGAATAAATAATACACTTATAATAACTATTAAATCGCACACGCAATATAAATAAAACTTTATCGCTGCGCGCGAGTGTCCGTATTACTTTACATATGTTCTCTTTACTACGTCACAATGGACTTTCCGTGGTTGCTAAGGGCTGGTATTAAAGAGTAAAAAAATACATTGTCAAATGGTAAGTTACTTAGGTAAAGTACCTACACTGATTATAATCGACCAAATTATCTACTATGTGAGTTCTGTGATGCCCAACGCATGCAACTTACAGGCACAAAGAATCATAATTACAAGACAATTTAAAAATACAGTGAATAAATAATACACTTATAATAACTATAACAATGTTGAAATATTTGAACGTTCTCACAGAATAAATAATAGTACCTACTACGTAACGTTCTCTAGATTCATGTGTACTTCAATCAACCATCAACTATAACGATGAATCAATCATCTATATATAATTATACTGTGTGAACGTGGCTTCAACCGGTTCTCATTCAGAAGTTAAATGATCACTGACAGAACAACGATTATAAAGATTATTATTATTTGTTTAGCGCTGCAGAGAATAACATGAGGAAGCTTTTCAACAGTTTGCAAAGTCCTCCAATCTAGACTGATTCTCTAAGCCCGTTTGAAACCTTGTTGAGTAGGATAGCCGACATAAGTATAGTTACATATCATATAGATAGCGTTACAAAGAAAAATTCTGTGGAAATCCCTTTCTTTACTAATATTACGCCCTCAATCTTAATCTTCTCTTTTTAAAACTTGTAAAGAATTACTATCTTTTCCTTCTGAAGGTGTTAGTATAATTATTTTGTCTATTGTTTATTTTTTATATTACATTTTATATTTTTTATTTAAAATAAATTTTATCATGATGTTTATTTTACGACATTTTCCGTAGGTGCTGGCTAAAATAGAACTCAAATTATTCGCGTACTGTAATATTTTAAGGGTTCCATTCCTTGATAGCTGGTGCTCGTGACGTGGTAGCAATTGCTATAATAAAAATAAACAGGTGGAAAGGTATGCAAAATCAAAATCGAAACTTATAATATGTTTTTTTTTATAGGATAAGGGGACAAACGAGCACACAGTCCACCTGATGGTAAGTGATTGCTGCGGCCCATAGATATCTACATCTGTCCTCTATTACAAATCAAAATGTAGATGCGTTGTCACCCGTGAGGACTAAGATGGAATGCCTCATTTCCAGTAAAAAGGGCCTCCGGCCACCTACACTCACCAAGCGAAACGCAGAGGTAAACCTCTACTTCACGCTGGTTTTCTGTGAGGTCTTGGTACCACCCCGGTTCGAGCCGGCCCATCCGTACGATAGCAAAACTGCCGCGTGGCTCTACCACTGTTAAAACTTGTACTTGTTAAACATGTACTTTATTCTACTATAGGGTTACCCGGCGCGTAGCTGCCGCAGAAGAAATAATTGTAGAAATATCGTTTTAAATTTGGAAAAGTTATATTAATTAGGAATAATAATACATTTATTGAAATTGAATGAAATATAACTTTCAAATAAATTTGTCGGTACGATGCGCGCGCCACCTACTGTAAGTTAATTGTACTATGTCTATAACCTTCGCGCAAGTGTAAGCAATAATTTGACAAAGTGTTACCGCAATCTAATGAACGTATGGCAGCGTACTTGGTAATAAAAAGATCCTCTGTGGCATAAAATACGAACAAAGAAACATTATTTTTGGAATAAAGTTCTTTATCGGGCGGTACGGATGGGAGCTAGGCGACAAAAAGTGTAAGATTTCGTCACTACCCCTTGTGTTATAGTGTAGACGGCCTTGGCGGCGAAATAAGGAAGTGAGATGGAATAATATCCATCTCCCTCGCACTTTTTCTTATCTTGCCATGAAAGATATATTTTCATTCAAATGACGCTTCATTAATAGACGCTAGTAACTCATTTATTTGTATATCATTTATTAATCAATAATATAATACCCACGTTTATCAATAATAATATAGTACGCAAGGAACTTCGTTCCAACCGAGTGTTCCACGACACTCACGCATTTTTTTATATATTAGATAACTAGCTGTGCCCGCGGCGTTTCTCGGGTATATAGGTTTTACTTAAAGAATTAGACGTTTAGGTAAGAGACTATTAAACGATTTATATCATTACTGTATCAATAAGTGGTAACAAAATAAATCGTTATCCTCAAAGTTCTAAGTCGTTTATGTTAGAGCTTCTGTGTAAACGACGTTAGAAGTAGACAGCCGGGGCGTAGGTACACAAATAGGCTATAGGATAACGCGGGAAAAAGCAACATAGAGTTGGCCATGTGCAAAACAGTTAGTACTGAGGTCCACTGAACTCCTGGAACGCGTAAAGTTTGAGCTTGCGCTTTATTTACGGTCGTCGCATAACACACGCAGACTGGGAACTGAACACGCTTAAAACTGAGAGGAAAGTTATTTGGGATTAGAGGGATTCTGGGTATAAATACAATATCACGATATTTTGTTGCAATTTTCTTAGTTTTTAATCGAGTTTCGTTGCATAGCTTGGGTGGGCGTGTTTCTTTTCTGGTTTCTGGTGATGTTTGTGCTGTTAGCCTACACGGCTCTTTCAACTTCATCGTACTCATGGGTACAAATTTCTTCAGTGAGTCTCAATACGATTAAAAAGAAAGCGAAAAATCTTAACACCGCAATTCTTTTTTTTTTCTTTTGCGCCCAAAGCGAGGCTACCCTCTGGAAGCGGGGGAAGGAGGTGGTGAATGTTCATAGCATACCACGGCAGCCGGCAGCGTGGTTATGTTGTACTCACTTTGAAGAAGTGCCTATCCACTAAACACCACCTGTGGGACTGGCGTTGGCCATTATGGCCTTCCTGCCGAATCGGACGCGACCCCCTTTAGGAAAAAGGGGCGCTACCGCAATTCAGAAAAAGTTGTAATTTATACAACGCGATCTATTACGTTCTTTGTGAGAAAACATCCTTTTTTTTAATTTAAGGAAACATATTTTTTGTTTACTGTGTTATATTATAATGAACCTTTTTTTTTACACACAAATCTTTTTATTACTATTTCTGAGTTTTATGGCATCTTTAAACAGATTCGAACCTAGATTTCAAAATAATAATCATAACTTTCGATAGAATTAACCAATTTTAATAAAACAAAGATTAAAAATGAACTCGAATATACGCTTTATGATTTTCTTAACGACTTCTTTGCAAAAAAGATATTTACTCAAAACGTTATGCGTTCATATTCAAACAGACAGACCGACAGACCGACAGACATACAATTCTAAAAGATATAAAAATGTACTTATTTGATGATTTTCAGTCTCCATAATGATTTTAGCCACAAACATATCTACTATACAATGTACATAAACAGACACAATATATTTATTATATGTATAGATTTAAAGAGAGATGGCGCTGTTAACATCAATTCTAAAAATAAAAGAGATTAATTGACGCTATTGATACATTATATAAACATAAAAACACTTATACTTCAGTGCGTGCATAGTAAGCAAAAAAGAAAGTTTGATCCTAGCCGAAACCAACGAAATTGTTAATAGCTCTTTTAAAATTTGATTTACCAATTAGATTACTCGGCAGTAAAGAATAATTGAGCTTGTCAACACGCAGTAGGGCAACGATTAATATAAAGATTACTACTTTATTAATCTTTATTAAAAATCTGACAATAAAACAATGTATTAGGTACTATTAAGACAGTTTGTTAAAATTTCTACAAAAATTGAGAATGCAAAAAAACGCAAAGCTTCGTTGAAAAATAGACATCTTTACATATATATAATTATATCTTTTTATATATAATTCTTCTGTTCGTGTGTATGTGACTGAACTCTTCCTACGGCTGGACCGATTTTGATAAAATTTTGTGTGTGATTAATTTGATTCGAGAATAGTTTAGATTAGACCCGGTAGGTGGCACTGTGTTCGAGATCCATAAAGCACCCGAGCGAAGCCGGGGCGAATCGCTCTGTCTGTCAGTCCGCAACAATCTTCAAAATGGCTGAACACCAATAGGGAACAACGCCAGGAGGGGATTATCTCTTAAACTATCCGTCCAAATAACATGGTATAAAGAACAAAGTTTATCTTCATAAAATTGTCTTGATGATGAAGTTACTTTCGTTTGTAAGGATAAATAGGCCATGCCTAATAATAACGCTCATAAATCACTTTTAAATTTTCAATATTTTTTTGTCACAAAATACCAAATTATGACTTATGAATAAGAAATAGACATGGTATCGCGGACTTTTTTTTAGACGGAGTAAAGATCTATATTTTTCTGGAACATTGTATTTACGTATCCCTAACGATATCACCAGCGTATGCGGATAAATCATTTCGGGAGTGCCTTTTCTTCTGACTTGCTTAACAAATATCCATATTTAAGGCTAGCTGAGTTATATAGCTTAATGCTAAATAGCCACATGAATCTGGCTATAATATACAAAAAGAATTTTTCAAATCGGACTGGTAGTTCCAGAGATTAGCCCGTTTAAACAAACAAAAAAACAAAAAACTCTTCCGCTTTATTATATTAAGTATAGATATGTATTCGTGTGTATTTTCCAACAACCTACGTACACCCTTACCCTTTCTCACAGGTCACTTTATCCTCTGCAATGGTTGCCTGGTAGAGATCGCTTCTAAGCGATTAGGCCGCCAATTGTACCTTTAAATAATTTATGTTTTATTTTTCTGTCATATGTATTTCTGGTGTACAATAAAGTATATTTCATTCATTCAAAATCTAAGATTAAATATAAACTATTTTCTGTAATAACAAGGATTACATTGTAAATAAATAACGACTCTTAAAAATTTTATTCAAAATTTAAACAGCTTAGTCAATGTAAAACGGGCTTCAGGCATTTGTTTTTTGTTGTTCGTTGCCGCATTTTTCGGAGTATAAGTACTATATTCGTAGGCCACCTTCCTGTTGACCAGCGTTGCTATGTGAAGCATGTCTAGACTCTCATGGTACTTGTCGATCACCTTACAAAGCTCCTGGATCATGAACGAGCCTAAGACGTTACGATACGACAAAAAGCCTAAAAAAAAACATCCATTTAAAATTGAATAAAACTATTTTTACGGATTTTATCGCGTTTAATTTACTTATTTTATATTCCCGACGTTTCGGTTGCTTTCCAGCAACCGTGGTCACGGGGGACTGAGGTGATTGACGTCCCGATGTCAAAGTTAACCCGGAGTACCTTCAGCTTTTTAATTATTAATTTTGGTCCGATCTACGCAGAATGAACTAACTGTGTCTTGAAGTCTTACAGTGGTATGCTTGGGTTTAGTTTTAATTTTATGAATTACAGGATCCCAAGCAGGTGGTAGTACCCAGCCTCCCTCTCTATTGAAATTAGGATGTTTTTTAATTTCAATAGCCTCACGTATCATCCTTGGCAGGAATCGATGTTCTTTCGCGAGGACTTGTGGTTTATCAAATCTAATGTAATGACGGGGGCCGTCTAGGATATGATCACAAACTGCAGACTTCCCGGAATGTTGGTGCTTCACGTCAGCTATGTGTTCTTTTACGCGGGTTTTTATTGATCGTTTTGTTTGCCCTATATATGAGAGACCACACTCACAATCAAGCTTGTATACTCCTGCATCTTGTAGAGGAATATTGCACTTGACGGATGGTAAGAATCCTGTAATTCATAAAATTAAAACTAAACCCAAGCATACCACTGTAAGACTTCAAGACACAGTTAGTTCATTCTGCGTAGATCGGACCAAAATTAATAATTAAAAAGCTGAAGGTACTCCGGGTTAACTTTGACATCGGGACGTCAATCACCTCAGTCCCCCGTGACCACGGTTGCTGGAAAGCAACCGAAACGTCGGGAATATAAAATAAGTAAATTAAACGCGATAAAATCCGTAAAAATAGTTTTATTCAATGTGTAGTGTTCGCGTAAATATAAGAAATCATTATCCATTTAAAATATTAACTGTAAGAGACAAATTATCAATAATGGAAAATAAAAATAATTATTTCTTATAAGCCCTTAAAAAGCAGCAACCAATAACCAACCCTAGCCCATGTTTAGTAGTGGACTTGTGAAGGGCTATAATGATGACGCTGATGATGATGAGCCCATAACAGTCCACAGCTGGACATTGTCCTCTCTTATCTATCCATCCATCCATCTAGTACAGTCTATTAGAGTCCACTGATGTACATAGGCCTTTCCCATAGATTGTTTCATAGGGAAGATTTTGCCACAATGATCCACGACTTTTTCTGCCACCAGGGCTGTGCCACAAGAAAGTGTGGTATAATATTTGACAGATTTCATAGCGGGGAAGTTAATTTGCTCGGAAAATGTAAAGGTTATTGATTCTTTATGCACTATTAGCTATATTTTACATTAATAAGATTAAAAATAAATAAACCAAACCACAGATATTCATAAAAGTAGAAAAAATAGAAAAAAGTTAAAAATGTGCAAAAAAAATTAAAGATCAAACCACTGACGAATTGTTTTGTATATTAATTTAATACTCTAGAAACTGATAAACTTTTATTAAAAACCAACTTCTCAGTTATATTACACTGTGTAACAAAAAACTTTACCTCAGTGTCAACTAGCGACATCTGGTGAGCAGAAAATTACTAGCCCTCGTTGCCGCAATTTTTTTATCTTGAGTTGTTATCAGGAAGATGCCGCTGCCCATCACCTGTTTCAGTTTCCCTCTGTCGTCTCTTACGACACCCACGGGACGACATGGGGTAGTGGATATTCTTACACTGTCACCATACGGTAAACTTTATAGTAAGAAGCATTTTTCGTAATCGCCATGATTCATCGCGGATTGGCGATCGCGGTACTAGAAATCTCAACCTTATCAATGAAGCTAGTGTTCGTCGCTCGCCAACCCACGTATTTTATATTTGGCATACGAGATGGTTTTATCGCCTTATGGAAGGCCATAAAATATTTCTGACTTCTTTCATTGTATTGTATATTCTTACGTCGCCACAACACGGTTTTGTGCCACCATCATGTGGTAAATAATAAACATTTTTATAGAATAATAGCGACAAACGAGTAAATACTAAACCCTGCATACCTGCAGCATGACCTTACCGCATAAAATATCTTTGACAATTGTCCATCGTTCTGGAATACACGCGCAGCTTAATACTGCTGTGTTTCGGATGGTGAGTGTAAAGAACCGGAGACTCTTTTTACTGGATATGAAGCATTCCTTCCAATCCTCAGGGATGACAATGCATCTGCATTTTGATCCGTAATTGAGGATAGATGTGGATGTCCATGGGCCACAGCATCCACTTACCATCAGGTGGACTATGTGCTCATTTTTCACCCTTATTCTATAAATAAAATGTGTTATCATCAGCTTGACCACGCCATCCACGAGTTGGTTATACCGCCATCTTCACAATTATTTAAATAATAAATTATATAAATGTTGTTTTTATCTAAAGGAAAACATACTATTCTAATAACTATAAAAAGTAAATAAACCTTCAACGGTAGAGTACATCACGAAGAAGTCGGCATGCGAAGGAACATGGAAATATTCGCCGTCGTCGCTGTCAATTTGCACCGTTCTACCAGAATCCACATTGCTGCCACGGCATGCCTGAATTCATTAAGTTCCAGTCATTCATTATACCTAGCCTATCTAAGATCTACTGCTGAACATGGCCTACGTCCTCCATAGATTAGGTAATCGATGGAGGACATAAGCACATATTACTTATTAGTTTACTAAAACATAAGCCATGTTCATTTAGGTACAGCTCATTTTATTACAGCCTACAAAGTCCACGGCTGAATATTGGCCTTCCCCAAGGAACGCCACAAAGCACGGTACCGCGTCACCTGCATCCACTGACGTCCTGCGTGTCTTACCTGGTCGTCACTCCATCTAGTGGGGGGACGCTCTACACTTCGCCTACCGGTACGAGGCTGCCACTCGAGAACCTTTCTTCCATTGCCTCGAAGGGAATAATTTGCTATAGTTGTCACACTTGGCAGGCGGGTTAGTAACTGCATTTTTTTCTAATTATGAGTGGTTATCAGCTGCTAATATTGGATATTATTACCACTACACGGTGTTTTTTTTTTGTAGGAGAGGGAGCAAACGAGCATACGGCTCACCTGATGGTAAGTGACTACCGCCGCCCATGAACAACTGCAACAGCAATGGAATTGCAGGTGCGTTGCCGGCCATTTAGAAAGGAGTAAGCTCTTTTCTTGAAGGTCCTTATCTCATATTACTCTCAGTTATCATCACATTACTATCATTTACACCAATTACAATTTTAAAAATAAATTCAAAACATATCTTCTAGATAAACAAAAACAAGGTATTCCCAAATACTTTGCCAGTTATAAACCACGGCATTTTTTGTTCCTACTTCCTACTAACTCATCACGGCTATATAAGCCTTTTAGGTACTACATACTTTTAATTTGTGCGCAATCTTACACACTTACACGCCCCTTCAGTAATTTTATTAAATTAAACCCAAGATGCAAATCGTAGGGCTGAAAAGACACATCATTCAAATATACATTTTACACTGATTAACTATTTCTCATTTTCTTCTCGTCGTCTCGAGGGTAATAGCTGAAAATCAGTGTTTGCTCTCTGAGCAATATTAATCGCTGAGCTAGTACCCATTTGTCTAACTGCAACACACATGTACATTTAGATTTTAAGTTTTTGTAAATTATTTTTTTCGTAATATGTTACTTTGTACTTAGTTCAGTCACTTGAATTTACGTGTGTGATTGGAGAAACAAATAAATGCTTTATCTATCTATCATATACTATTACTGTCATATACTACTCATAGTTGGCATGCATGAGGCCCAATCCCCCCCCCCCCTCCCCAATCATCATGAAAGCAGAATTAAATGGAAGACTACCCCAGGAGGGTACCAGCACCCCTGGAGAATCCCTCGCTGTGTATCCACGACCAGCTACTCCGCTCCTGAGCGTGGGTGCTCAGGCTGTCCCGCGTATTCTGGGAGAGAGCGCGAAATTCCGCTCAAGACAATAACTGCTCGGGGCAAGCTGAGCAACAAGACCAAGGCGACCCCTGCCACTCTATCCGTGAATTTCTGCAACATGAGGGAACTTCACTCGAACCTAAACGCCGTCCACTACCATCTCGAGACGGCGAAGCCAGCCTTGCTCTTTCTAATCGAAACGCATGTGTACTCTCCGGCTGATACTTGGTATCTCTCCTACCCGGGGTACAAATTAGAACACTCGATTGTGCCCCGGGCTGGAGTTTGCGTGTACGTCAGACGTACGCGTTTACGAGTGCCACCATAGGCCCCATAGCGGCAATGCCGACACAAACCGACTCATCGACCACGTCTAAATGGCCGAAGACTCCGTGCTACAACAGGTCACATCCGCAGAGATCGTGATGCTTGGTGATTTTAACACCCACCACACTGAATGGCTTGGCTGAATTTCTCGTTTAACCGATCATGCGGGTAGATCTGTTCATGATTTTGCCTTAGCATATGGTTTGACACAACTAGTTACTTCGCCTACGCGGGTTCCAGATGTGGAGGATCATGCATCTTCCCTGTTGGGCCTTCTGCTGATCTCTCATCCGGACAGATATCAAGTCTCCGTCGACGCCCCAACGCAAGACGCAAGTCTCCTCGGACCATTGTCTAGTCCGGAGTGTGGTGCCACTCACGCTGAAATCGCGGTTGCATTCTGCAGGCTGCCACCGTGTTTGGCACTATAAGTCAACCGATTGGGATAGGATGCTTTGCATCCTACCCTAGGAGGCGTGTTTGCTTCTCGCCGTACGATCCCAACGTTGTTACTGATTCTGTCGCTGATGTGGTACTTCGGGGTATGTAACTTTTTATTCCTTCCTCTGTGGTGCCCATCAGAGGCCATGGTTAGTCGCTCCTGTAAAATAGCATCATGCTATAAGCCGTAGTGCTGCCGGGCCTGAGCTGATGCATCAACGTCCCGGGATGTAAAGACCAGCATCCTTAAAAAGAAGTATTATTTCGCCTCCAAGTCCTTCAAAAAAGTCCTTGCCAAGGCAAAGTCAGAGCACATAAGCAGAATTGGCGAGAAACTAGTTCTCCTTCCTTCGGGAACCCGTGCATTCTGGTCTTTCGCCAAGACTGTTCAAGGGAACTTCTGTCAGCCATCTCTTCCATCTCTGCACAGGGAGGACCACTCACTGGCCCATGCCGCAAAGGAGAAAGCCGATCTGCTAGGCTCTTTCTTTGCGTTCAACTCGACTCTCGATGGCGGGGGGAACACACCGCCGACTATCCCGCGGTGTGAGTGCTTCATGCCGGATGTGCGGTTCACACAGCGCTCGGTTCGCAAAGCACTCCTCTGCCTGGACATGCACAAGTCGAGTTGGCCTGATGGCGTCCCTCCTATTGTGCTGAAGACATAGAACATAGTGAAGGCCTTCGATCGGGTACGGCACAAAGTGCTTGTTACGAAGCTTCCTTCCTATGGGCTTCCCGAGAAATTGTGCAATTGGATCACCAGTTTTCTTGCAGATCGGAGCATCAAGGTCGTTGTTGTCGTGTGCACTGCTGTTCCACAAAGCTGTGTGCTATCATCAACGCTGTTTCTTCTGCATATCAATGATACATTGCAAGGCGGTAACATCATTGGTATGCGTATAACAGCACTGGTGACAACTCTGTATACCGGCCGTGCTAATATTTCTTGGGAAAACGTTGCCAAGTTCTGGAACAAACTTGTGTCTGAAGTCGAGTCTTTGCTGAACAAAGTCTCGAATTGGGGGCGACTAAATCTAATCCAGTTTAATCCACAGAAGACACAAGTTTGCGCGTTTACCGCTAAAAAGAACCCCTTTCTTCTTTGTCTTCGTCGTACCGAACCTTTGTCGTATCTCCTCAGTCTCAAGGCACTCCCCTTGTTGCCTCAGCCAGTATCGGAATCCTCGACGTCGACATATTGAGTGACGTGCTGTTTCGTGGTCACTTGGAAGAGAAGGCCAATTTGGCCTCTAAAAAGCTTGGCATGCTCAGCAGAGCGGGACAGTATTTCATGTCGGCACACCGCCTGCAATTTATAAGGCGCAGGTTCGGCCTCACATGGAATACTGTTCCCATCTCTGAGCAGGGGCTCCCCAGTGCCAGCTCCATCCACTTGACCGCATCCAGCGCAGAGCTGCTCGAATCGTCAATAAGTCATCTATATAATCGTCGGAAGGAATCGGAAACCATCCGTTTATACCGGAAATGATATCATATATGACACGGTGACTATATGTAGTTTTTTTTATATGATAGGGGCAAACGAGTATGCGGCTCACCTGATGGTAAGTGACTACCGCCGCCCATGAACAACTGCAACACCAGGGGAACCAGGGGGATTGCAGATACGTTGCCGGCCTTTTAAAAAGGAGTAGGCTCTTTTCTTGAAGGTCCCTAAGTCGTATCGGTCCGGAAAAATCGCTGATGGTAATCGATTCCACAAGGAAGTCGTGCGAGGAAGAAAACATCTTCTAAATCGCACAGTGGTGGACCGCCAAGCATCCAGATGGTGTGGATGGTATCGGGAGTTTTGCCGTGATGTGCGTTTGTGAAATTTGGCGGCTGCGATTAATCCGAACATTTCTCCGAGCACTCCCCGTGGTAGATGTGAAAGAAAATACAAAGGGATGCAACATCTCTTCGCAGCGCCAGTGAATCGATCGGAAAGGACTCGGTCGTCGACGATTCGAGCCGCTCTGCGCTGGATGCGGTCAAGTGAAAGGAGCTGGCACTGGGGAGCCCCTGTCCAGAGATGGGAACAGTATTCCATTCTTAATCTGTGACTCAATCTCCCTTTTTCCGCCCTTTTTTGAACGGACAACGCTTGTAACAGACGACAAAATAAAGAAATAAACTTTACTATTATTTACCAGCGCCTTTAATTTATTCTTCTGGCCATCCAAGAAGAAACAGAGACCTATTAGTGTATCAAGGAATTAACGCCTCGATTACCGAAGCTATAATGTGCAAATTATTTTATTATTTTTATTTGATTTCATTTAATTTTAGTGGACTAAGTAATAAACCTCATGGCAACAACGAGAATGTCGTCATTCAATCAAATTCTATATTCAAATCAAATTCATAATTCAATCAAATATGCAATACATGGAATGACATGGGAAAACCCTTGAGGTATAACCTCCTTAATAAAAAAAGATCATAAAATCGATTCACAATTGCCGAAAATGTCGCGTAACGTACATACAACAACTTAGGCCCGTATTAATAAACGTTACTCAGCTCAAGTACACGCACTTGAGTACAATCACGAGGTTATTATGTTATTAATAAACATATCTCAAGATGCAGTGTAGGTTTACGATATCAGCTGAATGCCACACTGATTAATAAACGAAACTCGACTCTCAAGTGTGTGTAGGTGAGTGCAATTCACAGAACAGTATTCCTAAGTACAGCGTTTTCACATACTCTTTTTTTGTTTATTAATTAGCAACGATCTTGAGATGCTGATATCGCAATGAGGTGTGAAATGATTACGCACTTGAGTTCGTCGTTGAGTAACGTTTATTAATACGGGATTAAATATAACTAAATTGAGTTAATTTTTTTTAATTTGTCTAAAAACTAAAAAGATTGATTAGTTACTAACTTTTAAAGAAACTTATTCTAGTGCAAAAACACAAAGTTAAGTGTACCTGTATAAAAAAGAGTTTCGGTTTGTTTACCAGACTCTTATCCCCATTTTCTAACATCTTCGTGATATCTGTGAACTGGTAAGGTCTATCCGCGGCGAACAAAGAACCACCTTTATCCCCGTGTGTTAAAATCACGATGCATAGGCAAGAAGTCGTAGTGTGGTCCATTCGGCTTACTAAGATATTTACCAAAATAAATCAAAATCAAAATAATGGTAAGCGCAATACTTGAAACATCTAACTCAAACATCAAATAAAAGACATTATTAATACATAAAATTTGCATACTAAAATAAATAAAATATTTTTATTACAAAATTACATATAAAAATAACTAATAAGAATTAAAGAATTTAAAGAAAAGAGTAATTTTCTAATAAGATTCAAAGATTTTAAAGCAGTTTCTTTTTAACTAAAAATATTGGTTTAATATTAAAAAATCGAAATAGTCTTACTTTCAAGCGCTTTATTAAGAATTTCCCCATGGTCTAAATCGTTGAATGTTAGTGTTTTATATCCCAAGTCAAAGAACGTCTTCTTAAGAGCCTTCACGTCTTCTTCAGTGCCATGCCGAGTTGAAGGTTGTTGATAGCTGTAAATATTCAATACCAACATGACCTTATATGAACGTAAGTTATCATTGTATTCAATAGACTGAACGAACAACGAAGCAAATATTATGATTTTTTATATTTATATAGAACTAGCTGTTCCCCGCGACTTCGCTCGCGTGTTAGGGTTATTATGTTTTTGCGCGGAACTCTAATAGTTTTTCTAAAATAAAAAAGTTACTCCTTATGAAGTCAGCTATCTGGCAGTAAAAGTCCCGTCAAAATCGGTCCAGCCGTTTCGGAGATTAGCGGGAACAAACAGACAGACAGACAGACAAAAATTTTAAAAATTGTATTTTAGTTATAAGTACCGTATTTACTTTCATATGCGTTTAGTAAAACTGTAATTTTGACATTACAAACAGACACTTCAATTTTCTTTATTTGTAGATTAACAAATTTTACGGATTTTATCGCGTTTAATTCACTTTTCAGCACCAATGGTCCATATCGCTGCGATAAAATCCGTAAAATTAGTTTTATTCCACGAAGCAAATATTACTAATTTTTTATTCTTCTGTTCAGTTTCACAATTAAAGTTAACGTAAAGATACAGCCTATATATGTACGACCTACTGCTGGGCACAGGTCTTCTCTTATTTCTGAAAGTCCTGTCTCCGCAGCAATCTCATACGCAATCTACAAAAAAGTGCATTGACTTTTATTTATTTATTTTATTAAGGATAACCAACAAGACATTCATTATTTGTTATATTTTTATTCTAGGATTAAGAATTAAACTAATGAAATAAATAATTAAAAAAATCAAAAACCCGCTTGCAAAAAAGAAAATTTAAAAGTAATCCACTAAAAAGACCGAAACAGTATTGAAGATAGAAAACAATATTAAAATAAACTATAAACAAAGTTTCCTTTCGGTTTATAATTTGCAATTGGTTCCCCCCTGCTGCTAAACTTAATGCGGATATTTAACTTAGGCTTTCAGCTGTTAAGCCGAAGTAGAGTTTACTTAGTTTATAGTTTATTTTAATTTTATTTTCTATTCTCAATCTTGTTTCGGAATTTTTATTGCATTACTTTTAAACTGTCTTTTTTGCAGTCGGGTTTTTGTTTTTTTTTTTCAATTATTTTTTTTATTTTAGACTTTTGAGTGCCCCGGATATTTATAACTATTCTAAACTTCATATGATAGCACGAGTTCCGACACAAACATGGCCCATTTTTAGACTATTAAAAACGTTTTAAACCAATTTATTATACTTAGTTAAATTTAAGCATATGACTTATGTATATTTTTGTAATACCCTTTTAATTTCCTTTGTTTTGATACCGTACTCAATAGGTTTGGTAATTTTTTTTTATTAAAGTATTACCATTTCGCACCAAATATCCGCCATTTTTTCAAACTGCTTTCTAAAAACATTTGGGTTTTTAAGACAAATGTAAAGATACCTTAACTGTCAAAATCCATCCAACCGTTTAGAAGATATGGGGTAATAAAGAAATTTACAAACAAATATACAAGATACGCGCGAAAAACAACCCTTCCTTGGAAGTCGGTATAAACTAAAAGACTAAAACTAAACTGTCTTAATTATAGGTTACCATGGCGTGCAAAACGTACGAAACGTAACTTTTCAACAAAACTGGCCGCTGAACTCAATCGGTGCAAGACCCAATATGAGATCTACCATTAAAAAAGATATCTTGCCAGAGCGTTATCTTTTTTTTACTTTTTTTTATTGAAGAGACAAACATAACAGTCCACATGGTGGTAGGTCGCTACTGCAACCCATAAACCACTGAGGACTAAGAAGGAAAGCCTCTCAGTCTGTAGAATTGGCTTTCTTTACCGTTTAGATCTAAACACAGCAATGCACGCACTGCTGCTTGGCGGTAGAATAAGGTAGGAGGTATGACAAAGATTTGCAAAACGCGCGTTTTGGCTTAGCTTTCCATTTACTCCCATCGAGTTGGAGATTGATACGTATTTTTACATAAAAGTTACACTATTATAAGCACACACATAAAGTTTCAATATGCGGAAACACGTACTTTTTGAGAAAAAACATTATTTGAAAATTAATTATTTTTGCAATGTTTATGTTACATTCCTAGCGTAAGACTGGCGCCATTTTGTAATGTCATTGTCGTCGTCAGTACGAATGTCGATTCTTTCCGAAAAAGATAGATTTTTAAATCGATTCTAATAGTAAGCTGTCGTGATATCACAAAAAATGGATTTCTAAAATATAGATATATTTTCCTGTTTGCATTTATAAGATACCATAATAAATGATTTCTTATGGAAAAAAAGAAAGATAATACAATAAATGATCTCTTATCAGTAAAATCAGTTTTAATGGCGATTTTCAAGGATGTTTATTTTAACAGTACCTATTAGGGCAGATAATAAATAAAATAGGTTAGGTTCTACTTTGTCAAAGAACCAAATTTATTGACCCCGACTCCACGTGGTACGAGTCTGTCCTACCCCTAGAGTGGTTATATAGAACCGGAGGCGCGTAGGGGGAGTAGCCTCCGCCTGCTGTAACAAATCGTAGGCATCGGACGAGCCGGAGTGGCTGAGGCTGGTCGCCGAAGGCGACCAACAAGCCGAAGCTGCGGAGGCGAGGAGGGATGCCTGCGATTTATTACGCAAAGGCGTAGAGGCTGCTCTTCCCGCAGCGCCGGAGACGTTGCAGTCTCAAAATATATACAGAAATCCCTCTGAATTAGTCCCCCTACACCTCTTCTCCCCCCCCCCCCCCCTCTCCCCTCAATTCGACGAATGTCAATGGAAATTCGTAATAAAGTAGGCTCAAAAGGGCTAGAACCCAGAGCCGTAAAGCCAGTTTAAAAAAAACAACAAAATATTATTAAAATAAGTGATTTTTATTAATTTATTTCTCAAAAAATACGTGTTTCCGCATATTGAAACTTTGTGTGCGTGTGCTTATAAAAATGTAACCTTTCTGTAAAAATACGTATCAACACCAAACTCGATGGGAGTAAATGGAAAGTCGTACCCGCGTTTTAATAGATCTATCAAGTTAGAAGTAAAAAATCAACAGAAACCTATAGCTATCATTTCCCACGAAAACTTGAGAGACAGTTACCCACTGAAGTTTTCGCTTTGAGGTGTCAGTATGCGCGCGCATTGTAACAACTTCACGCTGTCGTTTTTTGGTGTCGGTGTGCGCGCACATCGTAAAAATTCACTCTCATCATTATTCCCAAACGCCCCAAAAGAAGTATAACTTCAAAAGTTAACTGCTATCTTTGTACTAGCAGTAAATATTGAAATCGATGATGATTAAGTCAAATGATAGGCATAAATTTGTTGCTGAAAACAGTGTCAGAAAAAATATGAGAATCCAAGAATTGCCTGGATTTGGTTATATTTTCTAGGTGGTGTCTTTTTAATCCTTTCCAATCCAGTTTCCGTGCTGGTCATAGTACGATTACTGCCTTAGTCAAGGTTACAGAGAATATTAGTCTTAGTATGGATAAACAGTACGTAACCTTACTTTATTTTAGCAATGCATTTAACAGTGTGGATTTCGATCTACTGTTAGCCATCTTAGCTTCTCTTAACATATCTCCTGAAGTGATTGACTGGTTTTACAGTTCCTTATTTCGTCTCCGGCAACGGACACGTGTAGATGACTCGTTCTCCTACTGGTGTACGATCAATGCCAGTGTACGCCAAAGTGGCGTGTAGTCTTCTCTCCTCTTTTCAATCTTCTTAAGTTCGATTACGCTCCAACTATCTTCTTTCTACCACTTGTATGCAGATGATCTTCAAGTAAAGTATATGTGCATGCCAAATTAGGGGATTTATCCAAAACTATAGGCTTATTAAACAAAGATCTTGACTTATTTGTGAATTAGAGTAAGTCATATGGTCTTAAAGTTAATCCATTAAAAACAAAAGCAATAATAAAAAAAATTGGTTACCTTTATAGATTTTGCTACTCTACCTGGTATTGTTTTTAATGGGACATCCGTGCCATAGTATAGTAACACCGTTAAAAATCTAGGTGTTACTTTTGATAAATTTTTATCTTAGGCTCCACAGGTAAACAAGGTGAGTGTGAGTGTGTTTGAGTCAGTCGGATTTTTCCGTAGAATTTCCTACCCATACCATAAAAACCTTAAAGTGCGGTTTGAGTTTCTTGGTGACACTCACTGTCGCCCTCTTCGCTCTGATAAAACCTTACCTTAAAAATTCCCTCCCATAATACTTCATTCTATTCTAAATCCTTTTCTATTGAAGTTGTTCGGCTCTGGAACTCCTTACCCCTCACTGCACATTTTAAGTGCGCAATCAATTGAAAAGTTTAAAAAAACTTGTCAAAGCGCACTTATTTCCTCTTTAAATAGTCATTCATTCCTCTATCTCTTCTTGACATCATTCATTTAAGAATTACTACTTAATTTTTTTTACCTCAAGGCTTTTGTTTCACTTGCTTGTTTACTCCTTTCTGCTCTTGTATATGTATTTCTATATTTTTGTAATTAAAAGGTATTTATTTATTATATTATTTGCAAGTATGTATTCATCGAGTATATTTATATGAGTATTTATGCCGTATTTTCTAAGAACTTACGTACACCTTTCTCACAGGTCAATATATCCTCTGCAATGTGGTTGCCTGGTGGAGATCGCTTCTAAACGATAAGATCGTTAATTGTACGTTTAAATTATTTGTTTGTTTTTTTTTTCTCTTATCTTTTTTTTGGTGTAGAATAAATTAGATTTGATTTCAATTCAAGCACTTTCATTCGGCGTTAGAAATTGGTAAGAGGGTGGTACTTACCCAGACGAAGTTCTAGGCAGAAAAGGCCACCTTGGGTCTAAGGCCCAATTTACACTGTCGTGGAACGGAACGGAAGCGAATTTTTGTAACGAAATTGTACATAGTATTATGAGTTTTATGTTAATGAAATAAAGTTCAAACTAGATATGAGCCAAAAAAAGTCGCGTGTCTTCCGTGGAATTCTCGAGGATTCCCCTAGCTATTGGCGCAGTTTGTGGAATTCGCGGGAAGCGGCACAAAGGTTGTGGAATCCGCTGGAAGCCGGGAAGTGGCACTCGCAGCAATGCGGCGTCAAGCGCCTACGAAACAGGTTGTGTACGTACTGTGTGACTAAAAAACATGGATTTAGCCGAAAAGTTGATCTTTTTCGTTCAAAAATATGATTGTTTGTATAACGTACAAGTTAAGCGAGGCGCAGTCGCTGGAATTTGCGCGGATTCCCGCGCGGCGAGGCGATATTGACGCTTCCATTCCGCCGCAATGTAAATTGAGCCTTAAGATCCATTTATTCAAGTGTTAGAGTCGATGTTCGTCCTAGCTCTATATTTAATTATCACGAGTATATTAGAGTTTGAAATAATATTTGAATACTTACTTGAAATAACGTGTGTTCTTAAAAACTGTGTTATTGAATATTATAAGATATTTATCCCCGGACATATCATAATACAGATCGTCCGGATTAAACTTTGGCTGCGGCTTGTTCACGTTCTTTGCTTCATTGTTTGTGGCTGCATTATTATTACTGTAATAAAAATAGAAAAGACTATGACCTAATTACATCTTCTTCTTCATAATCATCAGCCCGTAAAATGATGGTAAGTGGATGCTGAGGAATGCCTCGTTTCCAGTAAAAAGAAGACCCTTTTTTCTTCTTTTTTGGTTTTCTACACTCACCTAACGTAAGCAGCATTGAGCTGCTATTTTACGCTGGTATTCTGTGAGAGTGTATTCCGTCCCTGGTCGAGCCGACCCATTCGTACTACAACTATATGATGATAGTATAGCTCATAGCTCTACCATGTTTTTTTTTTTTAATTAAAGGATTTTCATTACGCTCGGCAGGCGGATTGACGATGTCTTGCACTTTTGTCGCTGCTCTCCGTCAACGATGTATTTTACATAGGCATAGGGCATTAAGAAATTGTAACACCGCCATCTATCGGAAACCATAAGATCTTTCTCCCTCAGTTTGTTTAAAATTTAAAACATATTTATAGGCTATATACGCCTCATTGCTGAGCACAAGCTTCCTCTCATTTTATTGCATTGCACTTGAGTTACTACGGTATTAGTTAAGTAGTAAAAGCGATATTATATCATATAGGCAAATGTGTGGTAGGGATACCTGATTACTCACTGGTCCTGGGATCGAATCTCAATTGGACATGTGTAGCTCTTTAGTGAAGCGACTCAGTAGTCCGAAAAATGAATGTTTTTTGAATGATTCAGAACAGTTGTATTTGTACAAATATTTGATTTGGGGCCCGATCACTTCACCTCGTTTAAAAATATAAATTTAGATGCGTTAACACCCCTTAGGACTAAGACCCAAGAATGTTATCAGTAAAAAGGGTCCCCGTATCTCTACACTCACCATACGAAACACAGCAAGAGCAAACAAACTGTTATTAACGCTGTCATTTTATGAGAGCCTGTTCCTTCCCCGGTCGAGACGAACCTTTCTTGCTGCAACCATAAATATAGTTGTAACGTGGCTAAATAGTAAGGCTGCAACTCACAACCCATCGACACACCAATGCGTGATTTGTAATGCACGCCGAATGCCTAAATTTCTAAACTAAAAATAAAAAGTATCACCTGGCTTTTGACAGTGAAATGGTTGGATTTGCATCAGCTATACTCTCTTCCATTATTTTTACTTAAAAGAAAAGCACCTGTACACAAAAAAATTCAAATTATTAAGCACATATTTAGAACTAAAAAGTGTTCAAATAATAAAAACTGTTATGAAATACGACACTCAGTTTTAATTTACAATGCACTCAGTCACATCAAATGGCAAAAAAGATAAGCGTGCCGACATTGTTAGAATAATCAGATAAGGAACTGTTAACCGCATCGGAACATCGATAGCCAAAATTATCTGCTAGTGGTTCCTTTCCACGTGCGAACTTATTCATTTTCACGCACCTATGAAAGAAATATTTTGTAATGACAACGCCATATTATCATATTTAAGCGTACTTTGATATTTGCCATTAACGATTCTCTAGATTTATTTTTTTATTTATTAGGATTACCAACGATTGATACATTATTACCTACATCTGCAAAGAAAACTTAACGGGAATGTCGGGTAGCCTCCGACAGCGGATAACCTCGGACATTTAAATTTCTAAGAAACTAAACACGTTGCGTACTTAAAAGCACAGAATAAATAATAAAAGTTTATGTTAATTGTGTGCCCTCTGGAGTAAAATGAATCCAACACAGTTGCGGTGTGACCCAGGTGTGGCCACCGAGATATTTACCCGTGAGTGTTAGTTTTGTTCCCGCCAAAAAACTTCGTTGCTCCTGTCAAACTTCATTGAAGGTTACTAACTTGTACAATACGTAAGTGTGCATACTTGTCCATTATTTAATGTTGTAGCCACTTTTGTACATTTAAAAGTTTGTAACAGTATTTTTAACATTTCTTGTACTATTTAAGAGCTGTGTTTAAAAATTTTGCATGATAACGATCGGGTACACCCGGACACGATAATGTCGGATACCCCCGGGACATGCATTTGAATTTCGCAATATTGTGTTAACAAATTACAATTGTTTTGTCAGTTTGCTTTTTTTATGGAAAGTATTTTAAAATGTTGTTACTATTGTTGTAGAAAGAGCTGAAATAACCGAAATTTAAGGGAAGAATTAGTGATAGAGAAAAATGGGACGAAACTAAAATGAAAGAAGCTGTTAAAAATGTGACGGAAGGCAAGTTATCTGTAAGACAAGCGGCAGACAGGTATGATGTACCAAGAAGCTCACTTCACGATCGCCTAAATGTTTTGAAAAGTGGCATAGAGGTTGCTTTTTACCCGAAGTTGGGGCGATTTGAATCCACATTTTCTGAAAACTTCTATGAGCTCGTTAAAAAACTGGACAATCGTCTTACGCCATTGAGTAGGTAGGAGTTTTTAAAATTAGCGTTTAATTTGGCGGAAAACCTCAAAATCCCTCATAAATTTAATAAAGAGAAGGGAATCACACGAAAAGACTTCTTTTACAGTTTTAGCAAAAAAAAAATATCCGAATATTGTTTTAAGAACTCCCGAATCTCGCAGGTTTGAAGATTTTATCTTTTCCTCGCCGATTAGCACTTTAACACACTTCAATTCATCATAAGTAACACTATTATCCTCTATTTTCACTAAAAATCTTTAAAAAAGCATAAATTTTCAACTCGCAATATTCATTCGCTCAAGTAAACACACAGAGTAAACATTGAAATGTGAAGTGAAGTTGCAACGGTATCGCCCGCGCGCCCCCACGCTCGACTTACTTCACACCAAAAGCCCAGCTTATGGCTCCATACTAATTGCTATATAAACAATCGTAGCTATATTTCATTATAGAACATTTTGCCACAGGTTACAAAGGAAGCGATCGTCTTCTCGAAAGCCCGGTAAAAAGCCCACGCGTGCGAGAGAGACGACTAATCGCTCAACTGAACTCATTTTCTATGACAGCATTATCGCGCAGTAAAGCAATCTGCCAAGTGTTGACGTTACATAATAAGGCTATGAGGTCATGACCTGTGTAGAACAGAGGAGCGCGCAGGAAATTTGAAATAGTTTAAAACAGTTTACGAATTATTTTATTAGATACACGGCCGCGTTACACCGCCATCTATTGGAAATTAGAAGATGTTTATGGAATATCCCTTAGCCGACTCCTACGATACGCATGATCTTATTTGTGCAATCCTAGGTTACATTCTTCTACTTATTAGCCCTGTTGAAATCACTTTTTATAAAACTAGCTGTTACTCGCGGCTTCGCCCGCATGGTCACTGGGAAATGAACTATCCATTGCTTTTTGAATTAAAAGAAAACTGAGTTTTATAGATTTGTCAGAGATGCAGCCATTAAAAGGAAACTGAGCAAAATTGATTCGTCAGCCTATTTAAATGTTTTGAAACGCAGCGTATAGGAAAGCATGAAAATAGCCTATTTATTCCAAATGGAAATGGGATATTTTTTTTTATTAAAGGAAACTGAGCATAATTATCCGTCAGGGATGCAGACTTTTGAAAAGAAACTAAGCTAAATTGATTCGTCAGAGATGCAGTTTTCTGAATTGAAAGGAAACTTAGCCAAATAAAAGATCCGTCAGAGATGCAGCCTTTTGAGTTGAAAGGAAACTGAGCTTAATAGGTCCGTCAGAGGTGCAGCATTTGGAATTGAAAAGAAACTGAGTTAAATAGGAAATTTTGAATTGAAAGGGAAGATCTGTGGGAATTCTGATTAATTGATTGTGGGAATTTCGGAAAAAAAACTAACTGAACACTATTTTAAGACGCTACTGTACACAATGTTATATGTTTTTCCATTCGGGGAAAGAATGTGGAGATTCTGGATATTTGACACACGCGAACATGCTACATACAGCTGACCATGAGAGAAGCACGGTTTTTCTAAGTTGACCCCCGCTACCTGTAACGTTTGCCCTTGCGCTTTATTAATTGTCATTGCAAAACTGAGCTTAATAGGAAACTGCAACCTTTTGAATTGAAAAGGAAGATCTGTGGGAATTATAGGAATCCGTGGTATAATAACATTTTCACCTTTTCCTACGCCTGTCAAAATTGTAGCACCGATTATGTTCCGTCCAAGATGTGTCACACGCAGCCTTGTCCCGTTACATAACGGAGGAGCATCTAAATTTCGCATTAGCATGACTGGGACGCCTAATTTCAATTGAAGCTTATGTGAGGACACACCTGACAACTCTAGAGAATTTAGAAACTCTACGGGATATGAAGTGCTCTGTTCTGTGTCTGTTCGCGCAAAACACTTTCAAGGATTGACGCGAGAGGGCGCTCGGCGCGGTGCATTCATACCGGTTTGAAATTAGGCCGAGCGTGGCAAGTGGCGCGCGGGTCGCAAGCGCGTCAGTCGTCCATAAGCGGTGCTAACGATTGGCACGCTGTATTCTGTTAGGGAACTCGGAATAATTCGGCGCGGCCAGTAAATATACGGTCTATCATTGTGACGCGCATTCCTACTGGAGAGCTTCCCGGGACTTATTGTGTCTGACTCAGAACCTGCATAAGTGCATTCGGCAATATTAGATAGTGCGGCCTCTGATATTCTAGAATTAACTATTGCTACGCGAAACGGTAGTGACCTTTGACCCTTTAAACTCCGTGTGCGTTTGTGCGGTAACCATTATACCCAGCGATAGTTAGTGGCTTCTGTAAGTTAGTAAATCGTACGATAGAGTTAATTGACTGTCAACGTGACGAAAGAAGAAAGTGACTGTGGACAACCTCGAAAGGCGCCCTCAAGTTGGAGCGGTGTCGACGCTCGGGCTGCTGCCGACGGCCAAGGTCTAGGTTCAATCACCATCAGTCACACCCAGATACACACCACATCACCATTCTTTCCCTTGCACTACACAACCACATGCGACCTGACCGACTCCGGAGGGACCAGTCGCCTTGGATAGGTAAGTAAGCTTCATCCAAATTCCTTCCGGTCGACTGGCCGTAGTATAACGCTCCCCCATATATTTTAATGTAATTAGGAATTTCCACGTGGCCACATTGGGGCCCGACCTACGTCTGTTCGGGAAATCTTCAGCTCATGGGCCCCTGAGGATTGGATCCTTTAAGGGAGCAGCCGTAGGCCGTAACAGTGTCCATAACTGTGTCTACTGACAAATACTCTGTTATTTCTCCTGCTACTTCGCTTAATATATCTGAATTTATTTTATTAACGCTCTCATTTTTTGGTGCAAGAATCGCCCTTTCACGTAACCATTTGTCTTCATGCATGTTGTTCGTTAAATCTGAATAAACGCTCGCAATTAATTCGGAATGACTCTGTACTAAATTACAAAAATCTCTCGTCAATTTAACGCAGCCTTCAGCATCCGTTTCCAACCGCCCATCGCCAATTTTTAATAGTGTGTCAGCATAGTTTCCAGCATTGATATCGTTATACAAATGCACTCTCATATTCGTAGTTAAACTGAATTTTGTCACCTTGTTCCATAAAATAGACGACTTGAGGCATGCTTTAATTTCATCTGCAGGTGTACCCTTTTGAATGACAGGTAAAGTTTGGCGAAAGTCACCAGCCAGTAAAACCACCATTCCTCCCATTATATCGGTATTGCTGCGCAAATCATGGAGCGTTCGATTTAGTGCTTCTACAGCTTTTTTATGCGACATTGTACTTTCGTCCCACACTAAAAGTTTGCATTGTCGTAGTATTATACCTCGTGCACTATTTTTGCTAAAGTTGCAGATCGGCGATTCTTCCAGGGCTAGATTTAGAGGGACTTTTAAAACAGAATGTGCAGTGCGGCCCCCGCTTAGCAGCGTGGCGGCTATACCGGAGGAAGCTACGGCCACAGCAATATTCTTATCATTCCGTACTTGCGCTAATAACAAATTTAACAAAAATGTCTTCCCAGTTCCTCCAGGGGCATCTAAAAAGAAAAGTGCACCACTTCCAGACTCAATTTGTCCTAATACTTTGTCAAAAACTGCATGCAATTCTTTCTTGGAAATTTCTTTCGGTGAAATATACACGCTCTCCATTTTCTAAGTGCACAGCAAGGTGAGTAACTGTTGGGTGCCTTTCGTGTAAAGGGAAGCCAAGGAGACGCCACGCTGCCTCGTTACTGCTGACAT